CTTGCTAGGACTTGTCTTTTGGTTTCAATTTTGACGAGATCTATTTTAGGAACGGAAATTTGAAAGATGTCTTCGTTTGGATTCTAGCCCATTCCGAGAACTTTACTTCTTTCAGATAACGAAGGAATGATATAGTTGGGTTGCTTAGTTTGAGCGGAAATTGCATTAAAAAATTGTGCAGAGTTTGAACTCCATTTGTGTAAAGACATTCCAGCTGAACCCACCAAGCTTGTTAGCTCATAGTGTAAATTGGTCAATTCATTCAAAGTGTTGCAACCACTTATTATATCATCGACATAGCACTGATGAAGAATGGCCTCTGCTGCTAGCGGGTGACTTTGTTGATTGGTTTTCGCTAACTCTAGAAGGCAACGAGTTGCTAAAAAGGGAGCACTACTAGTTCCGTAAGTAACGGTCTGTAACTCGAGGCATTTAACGATTTCAGTAGGAGAGTCGCGCCACAAAATATTCTGTAAGTAGACATGACCAGGATCAACTCGCACTTGGCGATACATTTTTTCGATGTCGGCTACCAAAACGAATTTAAAAGTTCGAAAACGACATAGAATATCGAAAAGTTCTGCCTGTACTTGAGGACCTTTCAGCAGGAGGTCATTTAATGAATAACCTGAACTAGTGTTCATTGATGCGTCGAACACTACTCTGAGCTTTGTAGTGACGCTGTCTTCCCTAACCACGCAATGATGGGGCAAAAAATATTTTAATTGTGATGCTTTATTCTGAAGAGAAAAAGGAACTTCCTTAGCATGGCCAAGACTGATATATTCGTGTATGAATTGTTTGTATTGTTCGAATATTTTTGGGTTTTTATTGAACTTATTCTCAAGTGAAAAAATCTTCGTTTTGCTTGCTGATAAGAATCTCCTAATTTTTCGGATTCTAAGGGCGATTTAAGCGGTAACTTCACCTGAAACCTTCCATCATTTAATCTGCAAGTATTGTCTTTAAAAAGTTGCTCAGCTAATTCATCATCTGCTGAAAAAGAAGCCGATTCAGGAAGTTCTTCCAATGTCCAAAATTTTTGCAATAAGTCATCTGCTTTCTGGTCATTATTAAACCCAACCTTTTCTTGATCAATGGTAACGTGTGTTAGCAAATTACAGCAGTTGGATGTTAGACGAGAAGGGTTTGATTGAACGTGTATACCACCCGAAAGGGTCCACCCAAGATACGTATTTATCAGCACTGGCTGATTTTTTCCCAGTTGTTTAAAACCACCGTTGAGCAGTTCCCCATAAATGTCCATACCTAACAATAGGTCAACAGGTTGGCTTTCGAAAAACGTTGGATCAGCCAGCTCTGCTCGTATGCATTTTGGAATCTGAAGCTTATTGACATTTAAAGTTACTCTGGGAAGATTGCTTGTAAGCCGATTCAATATGACACAAGAAGTAGCAAATTTGATATCAGTGTTTAAAGCTGAATGAAATTCCAGTTCAAATGATTTGTGGGATTGAGTAACTTGCGAGGAAATACCCATGATTTGCACTTGATTAGTTACAAATTTTCCATCTATTTTCTGAGCAAGATTTTCCGTTATGAAAGAAGTTTGACTGCCGTTGTCTAGTAATGCTCTAGCGGTTATAAATCCATCATTTTTGGACACAACTTTAACAAGAGCAGTAGCCAAAAGAACTTGTTTTTCGTTGCTAGAAACAGCTGAACAAGTCGAAGTGGATGTTTGAATTGTCGAATTTGAGTTCTCAGTATCAATTGGTACATTTGTTGAGGTTGAAGAGGATGGCAGATAATTGTTGTGTCTTAAACTTGATGTCATCATTGAATTGTTTTGACTAGGGTTGTTGGTAGGGGTGAAGTTATCTAAATGAAGCAACGTATGATGCCTTCTGTTGCAAATCATGAAATTTTTCGCTGACTTGCATTGATTAGTTGTGTGGGATGGCGCAAGACAGTTTTTACACAGTCGTTTTTCAGAAACCAACGTGTATCTTTCGTGGGGAGATTTTCTCTTAATGGTTTCACATTGAAATAATAAATGTGATGAACAACAACCAGGACATTTAAACCTTTTGGTTCCGGAACCTTGCGTCTGACTTCGCACTTGACCATAATTTTCATTTTGTTTAACTTGAATATGATGACTAGTTCTTGTATCAGTTCTCGCATTTCTAGTGTTATTTGGTCTGGAAACGCCCTCGGAAACAGTTTCTATGATAGAACACCTTTTGTCTAAAAATTTAAAAAATTCTGCTAAAGTCGGCAACTTCTTCGGGTCGCGCTCGCCTTCAAATGTTCTATTTGTGTTAAAGTCAAGTTTTTGGCTTTAAATGTATATCAAAATCAGATCTGCCCAGTCTTGTTTGGGAATATTTAGATTTTTAATTGCTTCAATACTTTGCTTGGCTTGAACTACAAATTTTCTGATGTCTGAAGGATTCGTTTTTGCCAGCAACGGAACTTCGATCAAGTGCTTTAAATGAGAGTTGACAATTCGAGTTTGATTTTGGTATCGTTCTTTAAGCGTATCGATAGCAATTAGAAAATTACTGTTAGTTAATTGAAGGATGTTTACAAGACCCAGGGCTTCACCTTTGAGATATGACTTTAAATATAAAAATTTTTGAATGTCTGTTAAACCAGGATCCTTTATTATTAAGTTTTCGATTTTTTTCGATTTTCGATTTTCGATAATAATTCGAAAAACGAACTCCATTCAGAAAAATCGCCAGAAAATGAATTTATAGTGATTTCGGGAAGCTTCGCTAGTGAACTGACTTGCTGTAGTGGGGTCGCCTTAGTTGTGGCACGTGCGGCCTTGAGTTTATCAATTTTACGTTTTAACCCTACCAGAGTTTCACAGTATTTATTGTACATCGCGTCACACTCAGCTATTAAGTTATCGTCGTTTAATGCAGTTATGTCATCTAAGATGTTAATGTATCTTTCATAATTGGATATTAATTGATCTCTTTTTAACTCAAACGTATAAATGTCTTCAGTGTCCCTATTTGTATAAAACCAATTATTTATCCGGGTAATTTGTCTCTTAATTGAACTGAGGGAGTTTTTGCACGCTGCGGCCTCCATGCTTATAATATGTTTTGGAACACAAAAAGTTCAATTTCAATTAACGATAATTATGTAAATGTAAAATTTACTGAGTTTACTGCAGGAAGGGCTTAATTCAGTCAAATCCGGCTCGAAGAACCATTATGTTTAGTGAGGAGGTAATTTCGTTCACTAACACTCGGTTGATCTTTCAAACAAGATCAACCCAACGCGGGAAAGAGAATCAATGTTTAATTATTTTGGTTGATTGATCCCCTTTCAAGATTTGCTGATCCTTCCTACAATAAAACTCTGAGATCTGCTAAACACATGTAATTAAAAATGTTAAATGGCAACACTCAAAACTATTTAACCAAGCACGGTCATTCATTCCTCTATCACTCTCTGGCGGTCTTAACAATGATGAAAATACTGTCTAATCTAAGTTCTTAACTAAATTGCAACTTGGTTTGCTCTATGCCGAGCACCCCGTGGGGGTATAAATTTGCTTTACAATTAGTTGGTACCTTCAACGTTCCATCAGCGGTTGGCTGGCGCCACGTGTTGTGAAGGGTAGAGGAACACGTGGCCCTTGTACCCCGTTGCACCCTGTGGCTCTATCAGGATGCACTCACTTGGGAACACAAAATATCTTGGGAATACTCACTATTCACTGCAAGGTTACCGAATGTCTTACTGACCACAATTACACTTTTGTAGATCGGTATTACTAAATAACTGATGGCTAGACGAATTGTCTAGTGTTTTAAAAGGATGAAATTTGAGTAACTTTCGCCCGTTGAAGAGAAACTGCTCTTACGACGTCTGGTATGCGACTCTGGCTAAACGAATTGTCTAGTGTATTAGAGTAAGATTAAAATTCGCCCGTTGCAGAGAAACTCATGGGTTTGGAGCTCATGCAACGTCTTGTATGCGATTCTGGTTTTGACTGCGTTTGGTCGTTCGAAAAGACCCAAAACCACCCCTTTTTTGTAGAGTTAGGGATTCCTGGTTTATTGTTAGCCGAACTTAGGTAGAATCTATTTTTAACTAACGCAACCCAAAGAAATCGCCCTTCGGTGAACTACCTTGCCGAGATTTTCGAAGTGACTTGGAATGCAATTTATGAGGTTTATATTATCCTCTAATGTCTCCGGCAATGTTGGTATATGTACTGACATTATTAGAAGAAAAACACAATGATAAATGATCAAAATATTTATTATAGCAGAAATAAGAAAAACACAGTCATAAATGATAAACATTTATAATAACAGAAATACGAAAATACACTAAAAATTAAACATATTTGCAAAACAGATGGACGAAAGAAAATGAGGACAGCCTATAAATAATAATAAGAAGTTTCGATACCTGATAAGTTTGTTGTTATTACAAACATTTTTGCTGCCAAAAAAAGTATTAAAAAATTATTAAAATTATTATCTAAAAATTATTGAACGGTTGATTTCACAGCTTAAAGTGTAAATGCAAATTTGTAATTTTATAAATTGTCTATCTAATGACGTATTAATATACAGGTACTTCCATTTGAGAAACAAAAGTTATATTGTGGTAAAAAGTTTTAGATTGAAGTCCACATTGTTAACACCCAGTACAATGCATCAATATTTTGGTTCAATAGAATTCTTAACGGATCTGTGTTGATTGGAAAGATGTGTTTTTTGTATCTTTAGCTGCTTTTTTTGCTTTTACAATTATTGTTTAGATACCATGTGGCGATAATCTGCCAACGTCGCAAGTAAAAAAAAACGATTTACGGTACATATGCAGCGTTTCAGGCTGCATTCCATTAGCTAATGAAAAATGGGTAGTTCTATTTAAAAAAATACACTTTGATCTTGCCTCGCTGTTCTGAGACACTTTGTATCATATTAGAAATTTTTTATAAATGTGCGCACTTTGTGCGTCAACAACTTTTATATGAAACTATTTTTCGAAAGTTCAACACCAACGGAAATAACGAACTCTCTCGCACTAAAAAAAAACACCCAGTATGATCTCCCTTAGTCAAAACGGCTTGATATTTATAAGTTCCCCAACATCGCGGCATATTTGGTGAATTACGTCATTTAAAGCCGTTGTTTTTACGTTGATTATAGCTCAGGGCTTATAAAGCTTTACATCCATCACTTCAAGTTTTTCTTGGAAGGTGTACATTACTGAATTGTAAAAATCTGAATTCTGACAAACACGACTTGAATATTCTTCAGCTAGGTACATCAGTTTGAACTGACTCACTAACACAGCTTCCATAAATGTGCTTTGCTCAAATTTCTTGAATAAGTTTTGAACCATCACCAAATTCTTGTGCACTATGCAGAAATAACTTCTACTCGGACCTAAAAACAGCAGCTTAAAAAACATATTATGCCTTTTAATGTTATAACAACGAACTTCTGGCTTCATTTCAGCTCTTTTTAAAAACCATTTAAATAGGGAGTAGGCAGGCAGATGGACCTGGTTGGAAACTAGAAACGTATCCTACATTTTCGTTGGGCAACACATCTGGATTATTTTTTCTTCCAAGGCAGCTGTTTTTTTTTCAATCAAACATAAACAGTAGCAAAAATCACTTTTTCGTACGAATACTTTCCAGTTGTAAAATGTCCTAAGCAACTTACTACAATTATAACTTATAACTACATATATTGGTAGCTAGCTAGCTAAAAATTCCATTTTTAACAGTTACATATCCCCCTTCTTTTTCGACAAGAGGAAAACTTCCATATAAAGTTTTTCGGCAATCAGCCACACTATGGACATCAAACTTACAGAACCTAAAATGCTACAAAAAATTATGATTACTGAGATAACGTATTCTGAATTGCTATGCCTGCCGCAAATCGGAAACATATTACATCAAGGAATTTTGATAGATTAATAATAAAATAATATAATTAAGAAAAGTTTAATAGAAAAGAACTAATGCATATAAAAGGGACAGTGTTAATGTTGTGGGAGGCACCACGCCATGCTCATCAAGCCAGCACGAAACGAAACAACATTCTGAAAGAATGCTGTTCCGCCTGCTTTTCGTCTCCCATATTTGAAACTATACCAAGCCACTCAGAATGTCCTTGTCATGGACCAGACCCTAAAAGGCCCTAAGTACTTCGCAACATTCCAAAAGGCAAACAGATCCTAACCCGCAACACCAACAACGAACCTCAACCATTAGCGTTAATGCGAAAACATAAATCTAGGTCCTGAAAAGGTCAACACCAGGGCATCAAAAAGCAGGCCAAACGATTTCCACTCTCATACCAAAAGCATTCACACTTCCTGCTGGGTAACACCTAAAAATTCCAATCACATGGTAAGTTAACCCCAGACAGGAAGCGAATAACCAAAAACCAGGTAGCAGAAATCAACCAAAAACATCTTGACGTCCCTAGAAAATCACCACCAACAACTGCAACCTGAAAACCGATACACTCTTGAACCAAAGCGAACTTGAAGATACGAAAGACAAATAAACGACACCGCCAAAATTCAGAAACGATCAAGTTAAAAAAGAAAAAAAAATCAATGGGCAGAAAAAAACATGTCCCAGTCTTGCACCAGACAATTCACCAAAAATTATTCATTAAAAAAAACAATGAGACAGGGTCAGCAATCTATATGGCTGACACAATGAGCGCAAAGTAATTGAAGATTACTTTGCACTCACACTTGGTGGACTTTTACCACCTCCATAATTCTGAACAGAAGCATTCTTTCCAACCCCAGTGTGAGTGATCAAGTTTTGCCCCAAACTGACCACACGCACCAAGGTACGCCCCTATCTGTAGAACTGTATGAACACTAACCAAACGCAACCAACGAAGAAAATCAGAAAAAAGGAACAAACAGCCAAAACGAGGGGTGTAAGGGGGTGATGATTAAGAAGGTCCAAATTCAACCTCCCCTGCTCGAGCTAGTGCCAAACCCTTGACACCCTTGACACCCGGTGCACCCTGCTGGGCAACCAACGAAGCTCTGGCGTCCGACTCACGGCGGAATAACCGTTAGAACTAGAGCTGAGGAAATGCTACTCTCCATAGACCCCCTAACAACACGCAATGGCCAGCGTGTTAGGCTAAACGGTAAAAAGCCCCGTTTATGATATGATATGAGTACAGAAGGCGCCAGGCCTTCAGTCTCCGGTGACGCGTGTCTCCCCAATCAAGGTAGCGATAGGACAAGAGCACGGGTGGAAGGTGCTAAGAATCCCCGGAGTGGATCGCGCTACCACAGCAAACGAACGCAGCAAATTATCACTTACAATGTTAGAACTCTATCGACAACATATAAACTTCAGCAATTGGAGGAGGAGCTCAAGTTCTTAAGGTGGGACATACTGGGAACCAGTGAGCATAAACGACGAAAACGAGAAAGAACTAAGACTTCAATCAGGTCACCTACTATATTATGTGGGTACAGACAATATAAACCAAGGAGGAGTGGGCTTCCTAATACACAAATCACATGTGCGCGTAGCCTTACAGATCCAAAGCGTAAGTCCCAGAGTAGCATACCTTACAATTAGATTAAACAGTAGATATACATTGAAAATTATACAAACCTATGCCTCCACCTCGACGCAAAAGGACGAAGATATTGAAAGCTTCTACGACGACATCAACACAGCTTGACGACAGACACTTTCCCATTACACTTTGATTATGGGAGATTTTAACGCCAAATTGGGCCACAAACAAGACGACAGTAAAACATCACTGGGAAGCCATCGGTTGGGGACAGTGGCGGCTCGTAGACTGATGTACCGAGTGTTCTGCAAAAGACGTTCACTAAAATTTCAAATCGTTTTCGAATACCTAATATATTTTTAAAATATTATGCAGCAGTAAAGACTAAATTAATCTATTTTTTACATCTGTTCAATTCTTCGATCCTTTATAGTTGCAAATTTGTCGATAACCATCTCATTAAACTTGTCGATATAAAAAATAAACGTCTTTTCGATAGAAATGATCGATAGAGCTGGTAAGCGATCTTCGGTCATAGAGTTGCGGCGGAAGGTCTTAATCCGTTTAAAGGTTGAGAAGCAACGCTCGGCTTCTGCTGTGGTCATTGGAGTTGTTACAACAATTTCTAGCATTTTTTTTTATATTTATGTTATGACCTCGTAGTGCTCCACAAAATTTAAGGCAGTTTATAATTTTGATTGGACATGCCTACCTATTTTTTTGTCACGTTCTCGTTATGGTGCTGTAAATTCTTCCATTAAGCGGCATTTAATTGAGATCTAATATCAACTGTCCAAAGTAAGACCAATTCCATGGTATTGTGAAGATGACTTTTTGAGTTTTAATGCTTTTTCATTTTTTTACTTAGATGCACCAAATCAGTTACCCCTACCTCTGTCCATGCTTTATCGATGCTAAATAGTAGACAGGGAAAACACAATAAATCATTTTTCTTATTGTAACCAGAAATCCACTTATTTTTGTTATAAATTTCTTTTGAAAATTGGCGTTTATGCGTTTTTCCTCTACTAACTCCACTTGTTTCTATAGTAATATCTGGCAATAGTCAACCCACTTTCTTCAATTCAATTCGTAACTATACTTGAAAAATCTTTTTACGTTAATCAAATCGAAAACTCATTTGGTTTCGTGGTGCTGAAACTGACAAACTTAATTTTTAAGTAAAACTGAAAGTTGTGGGTTTTATCAGCGTACTGCACTACATGCAGCTCAACGCCCCGCTTGAAATTCGGGATTTTGCCCTTGTTGCACAGAATGACGATGGCCGGCGTGGGTGTTTAAAGCAGAGCTCCACCAGACTTCAAGCGGCCCAGGCAAATCCTGTTTCTGTGCGTAAAGCTAAGGAAGCGAATATTAGTCCATAGTTCCACTGATTTACTGAAAACAGTGTGTTTGGCGCCTGATGTATCATATTATGTTATACTCGTATCTTACGAAAAATTTATTTACCTCAGTCCTGGTTTTGAGTAGTTGGATTGTATGTTATCAATATTTTTTGTCAGTTCTGCAGCTCTGCAGCTCATATGCACCAGCCACCCCTGGTAACCCTGGTTGGGGACAAGAAATGACAGAGGACAAGTATTGCTTGACTTCCTACACCAAACAAACTTTTATGCAATAAACAGCTTTTACAAAATGACCCCCTAGAGAAAATGGACTTGCGCTAGCCCAGGTGAAGTTACAAAAAACCAAATCGATCTGATAATTTTAAACATGAAAACCGTAGTGCAAGACGTAACTGTTCTTAACAATTTTTCAAATTTCATAAATACGAGAGAGGCGAGGTCAAAACTAATAAGAAAAACAGCGTCTAGAAAATTATTAACAACACAAAGCGCAGACCAATACGCACAACTCCTTAATTCCTGTCTATCAGCAATGCTGACAAATGAAGGGGAAATGAAGGACATTGAAGAGAAAAACAAACAAATAATAACTGCAATGAAAGAAGCAGAAAACAAGTGCAAGGTGTTCTGTTGGTAAGTAACTTGGCAACAATGCGATGGAAGTGACGGGTTGCCATGCTAGGGGAGGATGTGAGGTTAGGACAGGAAAAGGGTGAACGCATGGATTCCGGAAGAATACAGTTTATTTTCTCCCCTCAAAAAGGACTTTTATTAAAAGAACCCATT